GGAAGGAATAGGAGGAAAGGGAGGGGTTTTTAGTGGGTAGGCATAGGCTAGCTATGAATCCCATACGCAGCGGGTTGCGGGCCCCGCTGTGTCTTTAGAAGATTTTCCCCTGCCCACGTAAAACGCGCACACGCGCGCACACGCCCGCGCACACCCGCGCACACCCGCGCACACACGCGCACACCCGCGCACACCCGCGCACACACGCGCACGCGCACGCGCACGCGCACGCGCACACGCACACACACACACCCGCGCGCGCGCGCGCGAAATGTGTTCATCAAAAACAGATTGTCAAATCAATGTCATGTTCTATTATTTTTCGAAAAATTACAATTTTTTGTGTTAAAAGAAAGTTATCAATATTGATAAAGATTTTGCAAACTCTATCAGCACCACTTTGATATCTTAATTTAATGGTGTTGGGAGGTAGCTCAACATATTGGGGGGGGAGTCTGAAATTAGCCCAAAATTATGGTGCAGGAATTTTTTAAATTTAACAAAGTGGGTGTGCTACCTTTACTGACATGTGTTATACCTTTATAATACTCTCTGCGCATGTCCTTGCATCAAAGAATGTAGGTAGAAGAAACAGAAACGATCACTCCCCTCCAGAGGGTACGACCACAATTCCTTCTCCGGAAAATTTACAATTTTGCAATCCTCGGCCCCCCAATTTTATGGAAAACAGTTTATTTTACAAAGTTTTATTAAGAAACTTGTCACACATACCCATTCATTATTATTTACCATATACTAGTTTAGTTAATTAAAATTTGTTCATTTTCTGTCTTTTATTTTGCTGCATTCCCTGTAATATTTCTAAATTGAAAGAATGGATTTTATTGCTCTTTTTTGAAAGATTCGCCTTGAAAAATAGAGTTAATATCTCCAATATACAACAATGGATTCAAAAAAATGATTACAAGATTCACAGTTACACCTAGATGCCTCTCAATAACATGTTAAAATTTATTATTTTGAGAAGGATTAAGGAGAAGGATATGATAAATTTGAATGATTTAAAAAGATATGTTGAAAAACTGAAAAAAAATCTCAGTTTTAAAAATGTATAATTTATTTACAAATGGTAAGGAACATGTTTGTATTTGAATAAAAACTTTTTTAGTACTTTCTCTTAGTTCTTCAATTTACTTTTTGTGTTTCTTATGCACAGTATTCTGAAAAATAGAAAAGAAAAAAACAAAATGAGAGAACTCTAAAATAAATAATGTTTTATAGTAACTATAAAATAAAACATTTTTTTATTTCAATAAATAGTATTTATCCATGAAGCATAATATAGTCAATGAAGAGCAGACTGTTAAATTGTACCCTTGCCTTGCAAATATTAAGACAAAAATAAATTATTACAATATTATAGGTGGTGGTAGATTTTTAAAATTTGTTGTTTATGGAATAAATTAAGCTGATACATTTGAAGAATTTTTTCAAGAGTTTGAAAATACTGCATTTAATCCTATAAGTTTTAACAATTATTAAAAGTAAACAATGTATATTCCACATGGTTTTAACTTAACTCAATTAAATACTTGTTTTGATTAATGTCAATAGTCATTTTTTTTATTAAAACTTACAATTCTGAAGAAATTAAATATATTTCAAAAGTTAATTCCACTAATACTAAAAACTCAAAGAAAATCGTGAAACACTGTACATTATTGCACGTGATGAAAAACTAATTATTATTCCAAAATGTTTAGACCAATTTACTACAAACTATTCTACGGTAAATTCATGTTGTTTTATATTTAGCATTATTTTATCAATAAAAAAGTAAGTTTTAACACAGTATGAATGTTAAAGAATGTAAATCAATGTGATTTTAAAAGTCCATTAAGCAACCAGATAATCTATCTTTATTACTCTACAATGCTTCTACTTCAATTGAAACATAAACAACTTTAAAATACCTTTACCACTCTTCTCGCATTGAAATGAAACAATCAATAAGGTGTTCCTTACCTGACCAGGCTTTCCATATGCTTCCAGTATATTGTTTTTCCGTTTCTGAGTATGTGTTGGTTGCTTTTTCTTTTTTGTTCTATTCAATAAATTATTAATTGGATCATCAGGTTGGGTTTTTGCCAGAAACTCTAGTCGGGCTTTTTCCTCGCGGTTTTTCTGCATTAAATTTTTATAATTCATATACTCTCTTTTTGGAGGTTTAGCACCAAGTTTTATTAATAAAGTCTCTTTAGCCTTCCTTCTTTCTTCTGGCTTCATTCCAGCTATACCAAATTTCACCACTTCATGGGTAACTTTATTTACATCAATTTCACGCGTTCTAGTTGGTTGCTTTTTGCCAGTTTTCTTTTCTTCAATTTTCTTGTTGCTCTTATAGGATTCAAATTTCACACACTCAAATTCATCAGCTTTTCTTTTTTTCACAAGTGCAGATTTTGTAACAATGAACTCACTGTCAGGATTCATTTGATAATATTTTAGAATAGTTCGAATCAATATTATGTATTTTAAAAAAAATTAACAACACCCTTTTCACTTTCAATCTGAAAAGTTGAACTTCACAAGACACCAAACGCAACACCTATTTGTCGTCTTCCGTGGACCAGCCGTGGACATCCGTGGACATCCGTGGACTTCCACGCGCTTCCACTCCACTTCGATATATACTCTTTGCGCGCTTCCACTCCAGAGCAGGGTGGCCAAACTACAAATGTTGCAAAACGACAAATGTTAATTCTTGTGACTAGTTAGAATATATACTGAGGTAATACCGGCTGAAGATAAATACTCTTTGGCTATACACAAACTAGGTAGAATATTCGTTGGTGTTCGTGTTTGACATGGTGTGGCAGGAGGCTTGAGGGCAAGAGGAGACACGTGAATTTGAACTCTAACCTAACATTTTATTTTCACGGGTCAAGCATATTCAAAGCAGCTGAATCAATTACAGTATCATAGGATGAAATTCAGAGCTGTGTCGGGAGCGAATTTTGTTAAAGAAGCGTGGGGCCGTAGTGTATATTTATTTTAAAGAAGAGAGTAAGAATCTTCAGAATGCAGGAAGAAAATAATTGTATTAGACCGCCACGACGATTTAAGAAAAGTAAAGTTAATGTCATTGAGAAAGCTAAGAGAGAAGTAGAAGAACTAGCTAAGGTAGTTTGTGATAATGGTGAAAGTTTACCTTACGGTCACCTAAAATGGGCTCGTGCCAAGCAAGAAGAACGTGTACCCGTAGCAAAAGAGAAATTGGCAAGACACAGCCGTGGCACAGGTTTGAGTGAAGCTGTAACAAATACTAAATTGTTAACTAAAGAACACGAAATTGAGTATGCAATAGAACAAGCTGCTAGAACTGAAATTTTATTGACTGAAGATGCTGGGTATGTTACGCTTATTTCTTGTAATTTTTCTCATTTGTAAATTAAGTTTTTCATTGTTTGTTATTTGTGAACATTTTTTAGTTTTTTGGAGGTGGATGAAGGGGAATCGTCAACACAGGTCACTCAGAAGCAAATTGCAAATAGTGTGGATATATTAAGTGCATCAAAACATTTTCAACTCTTCTTAGAAGAATTTGGACCATACAGGTATTATTAAAGAGTGTTTATATTCCATACATTTAAAGAGTAGATTATCTGCTTATCACATACTTTTTTTTTTGAACTTTAGTTCTATGCTGCGTTTGGACTCTTAGTTTAACATGTAGATTCCTACACAGGCGGAGCTGGACCTAGCGAATATATAAATGTGTATGATTAGCTGATTCTACTGACTGGCAGCAGCAAAAATGCTGCTGAACAAAAACATACAAGTGGTTTTCCTAAAAGTAGCATGCACTCTGCTCAAAAGAGCTGTAATAAATGTTTAAGAAAGGTCTTAATTAATATTGCAATAACTTTGGGTTTGAAAAGACCAGGTGTCCCACTAACTTTTGACCACACCTATAACTTCTAAATGTTTCACGGTATTAAAGGGCAGTTTTTCCTGATAAGTGTGAGATCGTGAGGCAAGTAATTTGATCTAGAGACATTGTTTGTGATATTTTGATTGAATCGAAATTCAATCATCTTCGATTTTTTAAACAACTATATACTTTATCGGCAACAGGTACATCACAAAAAGGGGAACACAATTGTGTATCATTTCTTTTGTTGAAGTTTTGATAGTTCTTGCATAAAAGTTATACTTTCTGACGACTCTGACTAGTACCGAGACCATTCTGAGAAATGAGGAGACTTGAGGGGAGTTGCAGTCGGGGACAAAGGCATAACTAAAGCAATCCATGGTCTTCAACCCTAGAAAACATAAAGGAGTTAGTAATAAAATTTCAAACTTCAAAAACGGAAAACAAAAGGAGTTAGTAATAAAAAATTTAAAAATATGTAAAGCAAATCGCTCGCCCCATGATTATGCATTGTTGGGTGAAAAGTGCATTTCAAATACATAGTATGGAAGTAGACTGTGAATTGTTTGGAAGTTATAGAGGTTGTCCGTTGTTGGTTGGACTCTTGGAGTATACTGTACTAAATTTCTTTACATTCCAAGAATATTAAAGAAGTTGCTGTTTTATAATGCAACATGTGAATAGCAAATATTTAATGGTGTGCAGCGTATTCCATGGAGCCTTGTTGTCACATGACTGCAGTGTCATAAGAAGTATTGTACAAAGTATGAGAATCCAGTCAGTATGCTCAGTATGAAAAAAAGCAGAATAAAAGAATCAAATGAATGCATTTTTCAGTGCAAATTGAAACTTTCATTCTTTTTGTATGTGCTGTGTGTTAGGTGCTCTTAATTGATTAAAAACAAAAACACTCTTTCAACACACAACACTATTTGCCTTCAAAATACTGTTAGAGTAGTTGTGAATTTTATTGGAAAATTCTTCATATTTTAATTTTTTTTCAACATATTAAAGCTCTAAAGTGTTAACATTGTTTTGCTGAACGTTTATTGAAGACACTATTTTTTGTTACGTAGGTTGCAGTTAGCAATGAAAGATCGCAGATGGAGGTTTAATAAAAAAAAATAGAACTTTAGAATTCTGACATACTTACTTACTTAGAAATAGATTGAAAGTTCATTGTGCAGTGAACTGTACAGGTTTACCATTTCAATTAAAACAGTTGATTACAGTATTTTTCATGTAAGTGGTTTGTCCTTCAGGAATAATCACAGATTAATTGTTTTATTTTTGTATAGAATAAATTACACCCGGAATGGCCGATACCTATTATTAGGTGGTCGAAAAGGCCATATTGCTGCATTTGACTGGATTACTAAGAAGCCTTTATGTGAAATAAATGTAATGGAGGAACTTTTTGATGTTCAGTAAGTATATTTCAAATATAATAATTTCAACAATATTCAATTGCTCCTCCATTTAAAAATTATTGAGGTGAAAATTAGACAAAGCTACCATTATCAATAGTTTAAACTATATTGCAACCCATTCGATGTGTTTTGGAATTGTTTCATTACATCTCATGTTCACGACATTGTACTTGACAATATGTTGAATAAAGACTTATGAGGAATTATAGAGATATCTCAAGGCAGTTGGGTAGATTGTGAAGTGGCTTTTAAGTTCTTCAAAAGTGAATTAAGCCCTAATGTTTCGATTTAACCATAGAAAACAAAGAATAGATTAAGTATTGTCCGAACAATTTTTTTCACATGCTTAGGTTCAGTATAGTTGTTCTTGCTTTACAGGTGGCTCCACAATGAACTGATGTTTGCTGTTGCGCAAAAGAGATGGATGTATATTTATGACAATCAAGGAGTTGAACTACATTGCTTAAAAACTTTGCACAACGTTTTACGTATGGATTTTCTGCCTTATCACTTTTTACTAGCGTGTAGTGTAAGTATGAAAAATTTAAGAGAGAGAATAATGATTCAATGGATAGCTCTGGCCGAGACCTCTACAAATGTCATCATTTCCAAAATGCAGGTTTTGTTGCAAAATGCTTCAAATGACATTGTGAATAGTGTGGAACATCTTATACCCAAATTATACATTTATGGTTATATAATGTACTCAAATTATACATCAGGTTGCAACCTGATGGCTATAAAACTTGCCCACAGTATTCCAAAGTGAACAGATTTGAAGCATTTTTTTCAGCAAAAGCTGTGATTTGGAAATATTTGTGTTTGAAATAATGTTTGGCAGAGCTATTCAATTGTCAGTCATACGTTTGTTATTTAAATATTACTATTATTTTGAACCAATTTTAAACACGTTCTTGGATTAAGTTATGTGTGTGTTTTTTTGAATGAACATGTACATGAATTTGTAATGAATATGTTCATTCTTAGATTCACATGGATTATACAGTGCAATACATAAGTGTTGTTCTCTAATATAATTTTTTTAACCCTTAACCAATTTTAATGACGCAACTGGGCATGTGGGGTCCAGCAGACCCAGGAGTGTTTGCGACAGAATTATGCTTACAGGTGTACTTTGTGGAAGTGGATAATGAAACAAATCTCTAATATAATTGTTTAATTAAACAAAACCTTTCAAAATTCTTTACATTTGTTTTTTAAACAGTTTTTCTCTTATTACAGATCGCACACCCTGGTTATGCTCATTACAGACAGGTTTTGAAAATATGCTTCATCTCTTTGTTTCTTATTTCTTTCCCAAGGGCACAAATGACATCTTTTTTGGCATTGTTATAAATTTTCTGTTGTGGAAGCTGCTTCCTCCCCCAAACCATATGTGATTGACAGACGACGCTTGTTATTCAACCGTTTGAATGTCTCCATACATTTTGTGTATGAACCATATTCTGTGCTATATCAACAATAAAAATAAAATGATCTCATGCTTTCTAACAATCAGTCAGGGTCAGCATCATTCCTGTCACTGCAGATTTTCTGGAAAAACTGATGGACAAACGATTTCAAAAACTTACTCTCGTTACTCAGCTACATACTAACCTGCAGCAACACTGTCTACGAAGACAACGATCTTAGAATCACTCGCACGAAGTTAATCACTTCCTGATGAAAAGATATTGCGCAACCCAACATTCGTCTGTTTCTTGGGCACAAAGCAATTATCGGGCAATTGACCAGACCGAACCAGAAAATGCAATATCACATGCAGATTATGAGACTTGGGTCCAATGGACCCTGCTTGCCTGGTTGCGGCTGTAAAAAATAAAGATTTTTTTATTTATTATTTAGTCATGTTTTCATAAAATGGGTGTGGGAATTTTTAAAAATCACTATAGCAAACAGTTACAAAAAATATCCTAACACCTTGGATAGTTGTCATATATTGAAAATTTTGCTTCTGGTTTCAATGGACCCCGGTGCCCCAATAAGGGTTAATTTTTGCATATTTTAAAATTTGATGTGTTATAATTTCATCTCTTGTTTGGAGACTTAACCAAGACACTTTTAAGTACAATTTTGAATTCTTTAATAGAAAAAAAATGCAAAAAATTACAATTTTACAACATAATTTCTTTTTTATATATTATACATTTGTGGGGCCCTTCATTGGAGAATATAGAAAACTTTTCTACACAAGAAACCTACTATGATTAAAAAAAATGGTACTTTAGGTTGTTGGAAATTTTTCCTATATTTAAAAATGGTTCTGGATCTTATTGGGTTTAATTTCCTACTGTAAAATGAAAAATTAGTGAGCGAGGAATGAAAGTAGAGATGTCTTTTTAGGTAATTGATTCTCAGGTGTCACTGTAATCGCTAAATTGAATCCTATTAGCTCGAGAACTGAAATTTGCTTTTATGATCGCAAAAGATCATTCGATTTTCATAGACATATTGCACTATAACGTAGATTGGATGTACTTTAAATATAATAACATTGAGAATGTTGCTTTTTAAGTAATGATTTCTGTGTGGAAAGGTCTTGCGTCAAAGAAACATGTAATCTGTTATACCACTATTAATGTTAATATATCTTCAAAATTTTTTGAAACCTTTTTTGTTAATTTCCATATTTTATTTTATTTGAACATTTCATTTCTTAATGGGAGTTTTTTAAAAAACTGTATCTAAAAAGATAATTAATTGTCTTTTTTATATTATTATTGTTATTAAATACAATTATTACTATTATTGCTATGGGTGTGTACCCAAAGTGGGAGGGCTCACAGGGTTCTGTCCCACCCCCTCAAGTCAATGATTCTGTCAATTAAAAAAGGTCAACATCTTTTAAAACAAGTATTTTCTCAAGTTAATTTGTTGTGTGTGGTTGTGTGTGTATGTGTGTGTTTTGTGTTGAGATTTCTATTGAACTGAAGGGAGCACACTTTTTCCATATACTCACCAATTTCTAACTCATAGCTAGACCTTGGATTTTAGGACAATTTCTTTAGGCAATTGTGGGAAATAATTGCAGATGTTTAATCATGATCAATTGCTCTGATGTTTGCAGAGATGCACCTAATAGTGCCTAAAATGTCCTAAAGGGTGGTTAATGTCTCTCTCCCCTACCTCAATAAGTAATTTTGAAGAATTATCAAATTTTAAGTACATTTTTTAAATTTGTTTTACCAACATATGAATATTCTCTGATCGAATGTGCAATCAACTATGCTCCGAAATATCTCGCCCAACAACCAAACATATAGTAAGGAGCTCTGCAAGTCTGTATAAAGAGTACATTTCACAATTGTTTCTGATTGACACTCACTTTTTGGGCAATTGCACCCATTGCTGACAGGTTGAGGCTTATCGCTGTTGCACATCATCTATTCATCTGTTGCCTACTGTCAGAGAACAATGCTTACAAAATACAGTCCAGCAAAATACAAATTTTTCATTTCTGCCCTCGACGATAGTGGAGCTGGAATGCAAAGGAAAACCCTTGACAGACCTTTCTCAGTAGTGCTGCTGAGGGAGCCGTTAGGGCCAAAGCAAGGTGCAATGGGTTGAGAGAGTAATAAACAACAATCGTGGAAAATGGGTCATGTGGTAAAAGTGTGGTGAGGGAGGGAAGGGGATTTCCAGAAGAATGGGCATGGGAAATGTAACCAACGGTAGGAAAGAGGAACGGTAGAGTAAACGAGTCTGAACCAAGGCCTTCAGGCGCCGTAGAATCGATATGTCAGTTTGCTCATCTGAAGTTATTTATTTATTTACACTTTTTTGTTTTACTTCACAATAGAATAATAATTGATGTTAATCAAAATTATTTTTTATCCTTATTTTAACAATAATCTCACTTTATAGCATTTACAATAATTAACTTACTTTTTATATTTGTTATTTCATGTTTTCTTCCTTCAAAATTGCTTTAATTTTTATTAAATTCATAATAATATTCAGTAATGGATAAACATTTTATTTGAAATTTAGATATAGTGTTATTATTTTTTGTAGCTTTGAAGATGGGACTAAAAATGCTTTGTGCTAAAATAAATACAACAAAACACCTCAAATCTAATAAATGTGACTAAATTTAAGTTTGCTCCTGTGACCTCGTGTTAGTGGAAAGATTCTTTTCAGCATTCAAAATGATTTTAACAAGTAAGAGAGTGCCTTACTGTATAAAATTTGGAGAAAATCTTGAATATATATTGTGCTGCTAATTGTGAAAGTGAATAAAATAATGTGTGTAGTCACTCCCATAAAAATTCTTGACTTTCCTGAATAATAAACAGCGCCTAATTGATTCCTTTTGTGATCAATTTTAGATCTCAGTATTTTTCAGGCCCAGTGTTTTTAAATACCTCATTTAATCATTTTGTAACCTATTTTAAGTGTCTAAAACATTGCTTTTCATGCCTATTTTAGGTGCCTAGATCACTTTTTTGTGCCTAAAATTCAGAGGTCTACTCATGTCTTCTAATACTTTTTATTCAATTATTTTATTTTCCCACTTGTAACTTGTGTATTAAAGAAATGATTTATTCACGGAAATAAAAAAATGGTGGGGTACTATGCTAACAGTTTTATTTACATTTCAGAGTGCAAATAGCTTTTTGTCATGGCTAGATGTGTCACTAGGAAAAATGGTAGCTCAATTTCCTATTCGTCAAGGACGGTTGAATATTATGGCACAGAATCCCTATAATGCATGCTTGTGTTTGGGCCATGCACAAGGTATGTGAAGTGTAATTTTTCCTACCAGGTATATTTTATTACAATTTCTAAACTAATTTCAATGTAAACAGGAACTGTGACAATGTGGAGTCCAAATATGAAAGAGCCTTTGGTGAAGATGTTATGTCATAATCGACCATTGCAAGCACTAGCTGTAAATCGAAATGGCATGTGAGTACTGTTAATTTGAGAGTAAAAATGAACCATGAATCAGTTTCCCGCTCTATTTTGTGTAGGTTTTCTGTAGAATCTTGTAGATCAGCTCAGCCTGGTTTCTTTTTCTTCCAAACATGAAATCTGTAATATTTGTGCCCTTTGCTTCTACAGGTACATGGCAACATCTGCAGTTGATAGAAGTGTGAGAATATGGGATTTGAGGCAGTTAAATGGGCCCCTTCAAGATTATAGAATGGCTGGCATTGCATCAAATCTATCTTTCAGTGATCGATCACTTTTAGCTGTGGGCATGGGTAACATTGTGGAAGTAAGTTTCTTCTAATTGTTAGTATTTTTTATTTCACATTGCACAATTTACATTTTGTTTCTAAAGAACATGTAGTAAATGGTTTGAATTTATACAAACAACATTATTAAATAGACATTGACTCATTACATTTAGAGTAGTTAGTAATTAAAGTAGCAGTTTGACAGTTCTATTGTGTATTGTGTTTCTGTCTATATATGTGTTCACTTGCCCAGTAGGTTAATTGATAGATGGTTTGTGTGTTCACTTAGTTTCTTCAATTATCGTGTTGATATGGACAACATTTTTATTAAACTCCTAGATCTTGTGGAGTATACTGTGGAGCAAACCCAAAACTTTTCATTAAATACTTCTGCGGATCGTAGACTGGGAGGGAAATGAGAAAAGGCAGTAACAAGGAACGCTGACACAAATACAAAAATGATGTACATGAACATCGCCACTCTCCTTCCAAAGTTTGACCAATTTCTGATAGACGTCAACACTGTGCAACCAGATGTAATAGTAATTATTGAATCATTGTTCAGCTCGAATATTCCTTACTTTTTAATACATGTACCTGGCTTTCACATATATTGCAGAGACAGGCGACGAGGGGGTGTAATTATGTATGTGAAACAAAAAATTGGAAGTACAACTGTGGAAGAGACAAATATGTACGGAATTCAAGACCCTGATGTGGAAGCTCTCTGGTTGAAACTAGAATATGGGGACATACTATTTGCTGTAGGGGGAATATATAGACCACCAACACCCGACATGAGACCTCAGCAATCACATCTCAAACTATTTGAGAAAATGGCTATAGTATATGACCTGAAGACACCGGTTATTATTTTTGTAGATTTCAATTTTCGCACAATTACATGAACCAAACGTGGAGCTATTCCACACAGAAATTGAAAGAGAATTTATTAAACATTATATAGACTCAAATCTCACCCAGATGGTATTTGAGCCTACTAGATACAGAGTAAATTAAACCCCTGCAATTCTTGATTTAGTGTTAACTAATGATGAAGACTTAATTTCACCCCCGATTATAAGGCCAAATATTAGTCATAGTGATCACTTGGTGATAATGACATCGCTACGAGTAGAGTTGCCCATGAATAATAGTGTTTCTTATAAATCTATCTCTAAATGTAATTCTGTCAAGCAGTCTACAGAACAATGAGACATCTTACTGAACACCATACATTACAAAATACAGATATTAATGACGATGCTGAAAACAACAATGTTGAAACAAACTATGAGAATTTTTGTAAAACATCTAAGGGTCTTTTAAATACTCTCCACAAAAATAAACCTTGAGCGAATTCTCTGTTTTGGAATGAATGATCGGCAGGAAAAAGAATACAGGCCAGGCCCAAGAATTGAATTCCGCCCATGAATCACGGATGTGGTTTGGTCTTAGTATAGGGGTGTATGAGTGCTACTGGAGTTGGTCATTTGCAAGGTAATCTGCAAGGAGAATGGTGTAATAATAGATGTTTTAAGAACCCAATATAAGTATATTGACATTTTAAGAAATAATTTGAGATCCAGTGCTGCTTCAATGAATTTAGGGCAAGTCTACATTTTTCAATAGGACATTGATCCTTAACACACTTCTTTCAATACGAAACTTTCGTTATTGTACAATACACCAATACAACTGCACTTTCCTCTTCAGTCCTCAACCTAAATCTGCGTGTTATGCAACTTGTATGCCCAAACATCAACAATCAAAAAATTGGTGTGAAGGGTATGGTGAAACACCATTCTCTGTCTGTGGAATCAGACTGAAAGTGAAAGTAATACTCAAAAGTACCATGAAAACAACACACATTGAAGGTGATGCTGGTGCACCAGAAAACATGTGTCTCTGGTGAAGCAAATTATCTATACAAACTCTGAATATGCTAAGCGGGATTGTGTAAATGAAAAATTTGATGGAATTGGAGCTGGGACTTGAAAATATGAATGTACTAAGTGGAAAAATGTGATAACAAGATAAGTTACGTTATATAGAATTCATTGAAGTACTCTTACATGTGTTAGCATATAACTGAATTACTAAAAACGTGATATTTGACTACAGTTCCGCCAAGCATTTCTGTTCTAATTAGTCAAATTATGGTTCTTGCAATACTTTGTTTGAAAGCAATTAAATATTTGCCAATGCCGTTTAAAAACAATTTTTTTCAATGTGAACAATGTACAAATAAACATCATTTTCTGTCTAGGTTTATCGTGACTGTTGTGCAACAACTGCTGACCAAGCATATCTCAGGCACAAGGTGAATCGTTCGATAGCAGATATGCAGTTTTGCCCATATGAAGATATATTAGGTGTTGGATCTGGATCAGGCTTTACCAGTATGATAGTACCAGGTCAGTATAATATTGAACTGAAGTAAAGTGTGTATGGAATAAAAGGAGGGACATTATCTGTGTTACGTAAGGATCCATAAAGAAAAAAAGAAAAAAAAAAGAAATGGTTCCTACAAGTGTGTTGAAAGCAAGTGAGGGTAGGGGTGGAGAGAAGATTGACGGAAATTAAACGTTCTCGCAGTTTCCGTAGTGATTATTATAGTATCAACTTCAGTCGACAAAGGAATGTTAAAATAAATAAAAAATGTATCCTGTGATTAAGTTTGAAAAATTGTTTCAAAATCTGTGTGGGGTAGTCCTTAGAAGTCACTTTTGTTTTCGCCCTGGAAATGATGAGACAGGGTTGAATAGGATTTGAATTAACAGCTTTGGAAGCAGCTCTCCTAACCCCCGCAGGAAGGCCTGCCAAAATGGAAGGGAAGAGTTGGATGTCTTTTCATGTGGACAACTATTGATAATTAGTTAAATGACGATTAAATTTTTAGCCATCTATAATACAATTGACCCAAAAGTATTGAATGTCTTTTCACATGGACAACTGCTATTGATAATTAGTTGAATGATGATTAATTTTTTAGCCTTCTATAATACAATTGAGCCAAAAAACTGCTACAGCCATGGTCAGTTGTTAGATCGGTTACCGCTGCTACAATGGCAGGTTATCATTATTCAAGCAAATTTGAATGTGGTGTTATAGTTGGCGCAAGAGAGATGGCGCATAGCATTTCCAAAGTCGCAATGAAATTTGAATTTTCCTATACGACTATATTACGTGTGTACTGTGAATATCGGGAATCCAATAAAACATCAAAGCTCCCGCATCTCTGCATTCGCAAAAAGATTGTGGAAGAACAGGACTGATGACGACTGAGGAGAATCATTACATGTGAGAGAAATGCAACCCACAATTTTTTCAAAGTATGAGAAGTTTTTGTGTAATTTTTTGTAAAATCATGGCCATAAAAAAAAAAGAAACGTAAACAAGGTTTTCTTGGAAACTGCATCGAATTTTTTCTTGAAATTATTAGCTCAATTTGAAAAAATGTATGTCATAATATGGCATTGGTCCCAGTTTCATGACACTAATGGAATTTTGAAAATTGAAAATGGTGGTTTTTAGTATTGGATTATGTGTTACATAAGGCAAAATATTCATCAGCATTAGATGTACAAATCATTTCATTTACGTGGGCTTTTGTTAACTCTTTCATTTATGCCATCTATTCCTGAATATTAGTCCTTTAATTCATTTTATATAGTATGTATATCATTTACTAAATATTTGTCATTTGTACATAATTGTGAGTTTTGCGGTGGCAAAGTTCAAAGCTTTTTGAGTCTGTTGTGTGATTTTAAAATTGAAAGTAGATTTTTTCTTGATGCAATTTATGGCTTAATATTATTATTATTATTATTATTATTATTATTATTATTATTATTATTATTATTATTATTATTATTATTATTATTATTTCTTAATATCATTATTATTTATTAATGGTGGCATCAACAAGCTGTTGTACACATATCTTACAAACGGTGTAATAAAGATGTATAATAAATCACTATCATAATTATCGTATTAGATCTTCAAGATCATATAGATAGATTAGATTCATTTCAAGTACAGTTTTTTCGAAATATGTGTAGTTTGCTTGATCTTAAAGGAATATTTTCTGAAATGTCAAAGTGAGCAATACATTTAGAGTTGTACTGTGTCAACTAGTTTACAAAACTTTCCTTTGAGGTGAAGTGAGGGAAGAGTTTAGACCTGGTCTTTATAAACCTGGATTTAAAACTCCGCAATGCCAAGGACTATTCTGTTTTCTGAAATTTTTTCTCTTGAGTGGTGAAAAATACACCTATAAATATGTCATTAATCCATTGTTGTATTGTTTAAACCAGTGAAAGCTTTTAATTCAAAATCTCAATAAAAGTTGTAAATTCAAATCTCCAATGCTTTCCTTTGAGAGATAGATGAAGTGTTGTAGGGTACAATTTGCAATATTATAATGCGAGTTTGATGAATCTGTAACGATTAAATAAAGAAGTATGTGCTGCTTTAGCACCACTAATTTTAAATCTCTGGGTTTCTGATGAAGATAATTGGAAATCAAACAATTTAATTAAGATGTGTCTACTCATTGTTAGAAAACTTAGTGCTCCTAGAAGTTGGATGACTTCTTTGGAAACAGCATGCAGCTCCTGTAATCCTGTCTGGATAACGGCTTTGATGGTAGAATTCTTTAAATGATTACATATTTTTCTAAGAAAAATATAAGAGAATAAGAATAATATTTATTGTAAAACAGGACAAATTTTAATTATATTTTGAAGGAAATAAAGGTAAAGAAATTAAATATTTAATAAGTTACACTGAAAATTCAAATTTTGTTGAAGGGGAATTATTTTATGTGTAACACAAGGTAAATTGTTGGGGACCTGTGTTTAATTTCATAAAACTGAAGTTTTTGTTATATTGATGTTAATTATAATGTAATGTCTTATTACTGTAATATGTATGTTAACTGTAATATAATTTGCTCTTTATTTCATTGAAACTGCCAAAAGCAGAGTTGTAACATGTGCATTTGTATTTGTAGATGATCTTGAACTTCCAAAAATTTTCAGGTGCTGGAGAACCAAATTTTGATGCTCTAGAATCCAATCCCTATCAGACGAAGAGACAGCGACAAGAAGCAGAAGTTAAAGCTCTTTTGGAAAAGGTATGTTTATTTATTTAAAAGTTTCATTATAGGGCAGTCATGTAGGTCATATTCATAAGAACAAAGTTTAACGTGCATCATGAATTACTTGAGGGCGAGTCAAATGAAAACCGGAAATATTTTTTTACAGCTCCTGTATGACAGAGTTAGAACAAGTACAGTACTTTCAAATGCAGTCCCCTCGCTTTTCAATGCTTTTTCCATACTGAGTAGGGAGGGCAATGGATATCTTGCACGAAAAAATCTTTTGGCTGTGCATGAGGCCACTCGTGCACTGTCTGTTTCACCTCTGTGCCAGTTGTGAATTTATTGCCACGTAAGGAGTCCTTTAGTGGGCCAAAGATCTGGAAGTCAGAGGGCGTGACATCGGGAGAGAAAGGAGGATGAGGTAGGCACTCCAGATGCAGGTTGAAAGTCACACAAGCAGTATGTCTCAGATTGTCATGCTGGATGACCTTGCTGTTGCAATGTCATTGATGGTGACCCATCTGTCTTGCAGAATCATTTCCTCCAATGCTGCAATTGCCTCTGCTCTCACAATGCGATGTGCCTGGCCTGGCCTTGACGCCTCAGCCAAACTTGTTGTGCTGTTGCTGAATTTCCTGCATCATTTGTACTCTTGAGTCTCCAATACACATGCAGCCCCCTACTGTATACATTTTTGTAGATGCATTTCTAGTGGTTCCCTGTCTTCACCATGGAAACGGATCACTCCCTGCTGCTCTTTATTGGTGCAATCCAATGGAGGTGCTGCCTTACTGGAAATGCATGTGTGGTGCCCCTGGGTCATGTAGGGATGCTGGGCCAACACCAATTGCTGGCAGGAGAGTCCATGAGCATTGTACCAGGTCTGATAGCAGTGGGAGCAGTTTTTGAATTTGTACAGTGGTTTTCTGGTTTTCATTTGACTTACCTACATATTGTATATAAGTAAACGTTTCATTCTTTGCGCTTGCTTTGAATATATTCAAAAATTGAATGAAAAACTTTTAATGACTATTTGTCTCAAAAGTGACATTTTCTCACCATATAGATCATGCAACTAAGAAGTCTACTTAATTACTGGGCTTCATTAGAAGGACTAGTAATGAATTACATGATCCTCATACATTGAAAATGTTGTATTTCATGCTAGTCAGATCTATTTTGATGTATTCAAAAGTATTCCCTCATTTCAAACCCATGTTCAAAAATTAGAAACTGTCCAACATAAATTTTTTAGAACTGCAGCAAATAGCCTACAGTTACCTGATCCATTTATAAATCATGAGAATTTAACTATTTCACGTCTCTTACTTATTATCTCTCTTTCCTTGTTGAGAAACTTTAATGATCTACATTTTGATACAAATTAGTTAATGGAGTAATTGATTGTCCACTTTTGATGGAACAGTTGAAGTATCGTGTTCCCTCTGCTTCAAGATGAAAATATATATTTTTCCCCTTAAACTGTACACTGCTGTTTATACATCAAATAATCTGATTTCACGGATGTGTAAATTAGTAAATAATCTTTACATTGATCTCTGGGTACCTTCCCATCTGAACTTTATAAGAGATTTGAAAAATTAACTATTACTTTTTAATTGATATATAATTGTATTATTGAATTTGATATTATGAGATTAGTTATATCTAGAGCTGTGATTTATAAGCAGTCAGAACAGCAAAATATACACATATATATGTAAATATATTTGGTAATGTATGCAATTAAAAAAGAAAATATGCAAAATAGTGTAATGAAATGTGTAAATGTAAAAATAAATAAAAAGTGTAATGTGGAAAATATGCTTACATCAAAAAAAGATACGGAAATCATATAAATTGTTATAAGGACTTCTAAGGAAAATAATAGGAGTTTCAGTTAATGTACATTTCACAAAATAAAAATATATAAGTATTGCTACAAAAAATGTGCCTTTCTCTCAATTATAGTAAAATCAAGAACACAGTAATCAAATAACTTAAATCTTGACTTAATGCGTTTCACCTGTGAGCCAATGATATTTGGTTAATCTAACTATTTGGTATGTCTGAAAATAAACAAAATGGAACTCTAATTAATATTTTAGTAAATTGAGAAAGATGGGACTGATACTGCTTCTGCCAGGTCCTCAAGCGCTTCTCGAGTGACTTCGTACAAGTCAGGCGAGCGGCAACGCTGATCTGTGACTATGGCAACATAAACAAATCCTTGGAAGCCTTTTGCTTCAGAGCAGGTCACATGATATTCCATAGCATGTGGTGAGAGAACTGTCAGAGCCGTGTACACGCTGACTCCTTTTCGCGGATGAAACAAAAATATACAAGTATGGCCCAAATGTGGAAAAATATGCAATTATAGTGATATATGCGAAATACAAATAGCTTAAATTGATATTAAATGCCTCCAAACGTAAAAAAAATTGTTGAAAAGGAATGTTTTAATCAACAGAAAAAAATGCAATTGCATATAAATCACAGCCCTAGTTATATCATTGTTACTTCATTAGGTACCCTACTCACATGTTAACATAATTCACATACATAACTTTATATATTGGATGAATCTGTTAATGAATAAATATTTAAAAAAATTGTATCTAAGTAAATATCAAATAAAAAATTAATGCCAGTTGGGTAGTTTCTTGGCTCTCCACATCTTCTGACCTTAAAGAAGTATTCATTGTTTATTCTATTGACACTTTTTATTGAGAGTATTTGCTGTTATATGATAAACAGAAAATTCTCGGAGACCAGAAATGGATTAAATGGATATAAAAATAATAAAAATGTTATTTTAATTATACTAATTTACTATTGAAAATCCAAATATTAATTTCTTTTTTACTCTATTTTACAATTTATATTCTCAAATAAAATATATCCTTTTTTGTTGCATTTCCATGTTTTCCCAATAGATGGCTATCATGGCTTTATTATGGAATGTGACCTGAAGCTTGTAGAAGTTCCTTGCTCAATACCCATTGTTTTCCATCGACATTACGTTCTCGTAGTATATTTTTGTAAACACGTGGGATCATGTTGACTGTTATCATGGCTGCCGCAAGGCGTTCAGAATGAAATATTTGTAGAATCGGAAATTTTGGTTGAGTGGGTGACTGATGTTTTGAATGACAGAGATGAGGAATTATATAATGATGAAACAAGTGATATTGGGAGCATGGATTGTGATAAATATTGAAAGTAGACAAAATTTACCATGCTGAAAATAAATATTACCTTTTAATTTTTAATAATTTGTAAATTTTCGTTTATTTTGAATTTTATTTAGAATACTCTTAAGAGTGGATTCACACCAGTGGAATCCACATAGTAGTTTTTAGAACAGCGCGGAAACTTACAAGAATACTTCAATCTCCATCTGCTAGAGTTTAAAGCCACATTATTAAAAATCTATTACACAATAATATTCCTACACAAATTGTAAGTGAAACTCTCTCGCTCCTTAACTGTAAGTTATGAAACTATTGTACAAAAATGATTCAAAAAACATTCAAAGAAAAGAACAAACATGGTCCTTATAGTGTTCTGTGTATACAGTAGGCTACAAATTTGATACAATTAAATGTGAACGAAACTTTGAAATCGTAGCCGTTTCCATATCTCACTTTCACCTCTATAATTTAAAGGAAAGTTCAAGGTCTCATAAGGAGAATTGGTAGTTCTAGCCATTGTTAAATAGAATTTCTTTTGTTACAGATCCAGCCTGAACTCATCACTCTTGATCCTTATGCAATTGGAGAGGTGAATGTTCCTACCCTAAAGGAGAAGATGGCAGCCAAACATGCATTAATGGTTTGTTTTCATTGTATATTCTCTTCTGCCATGCAGTGTCACATTGCACGTTCAGTCTGCCCCACCATGATAGTAATATTATATCTACAAAGTATTCTACGCTGGCTCCCATATTTTCAACTTTTGCACATTGACCCGTTTCTCAAGCTGAAACAAATATCGTGGTTGGGCAGATAGGTCTCAGATGATTGTAATGTTGTGGTTTGTGACACACCAAGTGTCAAAACTAACTAACATTAAGGGTACTCGATTCCTGCATGACAGGACACATTCAAACTAATACAGTAAAACTTCATTTAAACATTTTTCAGAGGTCTGAAGGAAAAAATTGTTTGGTTGAGAAAAATAGGTATACGGTTTAACAGGTTAAAAATATAAGGTTTGACAGGTCTTTGTCGTGTGTGTGTGTGTGTGTGTGTGTGTTTCCTTTTTTTCTTTTTTTTTCTTTCTAGCTTCCTATTTGCTTTTTTGCTTGGTAAGTGGTTCAGTTTTTGTGTGTGTGTGTGGGTTTCAGGTGTTACTAAGCCAGGTAGAGATTAAGAAGTGAGATTTGGGAGTCAGTTGCATTGGAAGGCATAAACTCGTGAGTCTGACAGATGTCACTATTTAATGGGGACCGACCTGAAACTCTGAACCCGAACCGATGATGTGGCTGGGTGTGAATGTGTTTTGGGTATGCACCTTCAACTAACTCAGCTACATCATAGATATCCACTGTTCTCTTGTTTTGCGAGTCACTAGGGGATAACTCATTCAATGGCCTAGCCAAAAAGTCAGTCAAAGCTTTACTGTAGTAAGTCTTGAATGGACAGAAAACAGTTCAATCAAATAGATGTAATTTGTGAGAAGTATGTGGGTGGGAAGTAATCATAGTAAACCCTTCAGACATACTTCTTGCCGAAATGATGGTAATATTTTGCCATCATTCAGAAGTAGCATACTAGCAGACATGCAACTGTTTTCTGGAGTCATCTGGCCTATACCAAGTATCTCAGTAGTGACTCGTTGAGGTGCGAAACGTGGGCACTGAAAAAAGAAGTGTTCAGCGTCTTCGACATCAAGTTTGCACCCAGGACAATGTGGAGAATCATCCAGCTTGAACCTTTGGATGGGCCAGGCTGCGTGAGATAAAAATTTACCACGCCATGCGTTTAACTGATCCACGATTCAACTGTAGGAATCAATCCGTTTGTGTTATCTTCACTTGCAGAACATGTCGGATGTGTCAATTGTTTGAATGGCAACATTGCTGTTACCATTCTGCTAATTGTTCCGGGCTTTTCTGCTTCCCGTCTCTTTGGTCATAGCACCTCTGATTTTCACAGGTTATTATATATATTGGGATCATCCGAGCTATGACGCATACTGCTTCATTGGAGACAGTGTGGAATGCACATGCAACCCTGAGCACAGATAGCGGGTGCAATGATGCATGAGCAGAACCGATGTGGCAACCGAGACAAGCAGTCCCACAGCCTCCATGATTAGGCCCTCCAGTGTTCGGCATTAACCTTGTAAACGCAACATTCACCACCGCTGCTTTTTTGCTGGCATAGTCTAAAGTGATCTCTAAAGGAAAAAGTGTGTCAATCGTAATGCTGAGGTATTTTTTCAGAGGTTGTGATAAAATTCTGTGATAACCGACTTTGAGACAGATTCTTCTTTCTGCTTGTTACAAACAACACTTCTGTCTTATGTTCGGCAAGCTGCAATCCTGCGGAATTCAACCAACAACTCATGATGGCAATCGCTTCATTGCAAATACACAATCTCTCTTCTATAAATTTTGTGAAGTCTATGATGGCAGTTCATTCTGGTTTCAAGTTTAATAACATTGATTGTTCAATGGGCCTTGCCAAAGCCATTCTGGCTTTCTGAGAGTCCTCTTCCTTTATCCACGTATCGTCCAATCTTGCGCTAATGATAGGCTTGAAGACTTATTGCAGTGTACAGCATGCACAGCGGCCAGTAAGATGCTGGCTCTTTAGGAGGTTTTTTCCCCTTTGGAAGAAGTACTATTATCCGTTCACCCTAAGAAAAAACCTGATGTAAACAAACCAAAGAAATCTTTGCGCCGCACTACGCTTCTGATTGAACACCACGTTGCGCACACTTTCAATGAAGCGAGTACCATACCCCACCAATTCAAATGGAATAAGAGATGTTTTGTTCATGCAAGTACACCTTACTTCCAATCAGTCTGCTTCAGGAAGTGGTTCTCAATAACTGGATGTCAATTATTTGTATAAAATGGTTGCACTAAAATTCAGAAGTCCTTGAACACAATTCACAAGCTGTCACAATTTTGCTAGCATGGGTGTTTTGTTTCTGCATTTCTGCCCTTTTCATGTAAGGAATGCACTTTCGATTGAACAGCACTGCCTATGAAGTCATCATATACTTTAATCACAGGTTTCTTCCCCTTTTCTTCTCTGGCATTGGTAGTTGCCCTCATTTCTGTGAAATAACGAATTGAAAATGTTCAGAACTAAGCACTTTAGCAACTCCGAAGAACTTATCCACATTTGTGTTTAATTATAGGGCCAGCTACTCTCTGAAGACATTCTAAAACGAATCGAATAAAGAGCCTCGCAGGCTGCTCAGTGGCGCGGTCCCACGAGCCGTGGCCCACGTGCCTGTCAGCCAGCACGCTCGTGGGCTGAACGGCCAAAGGCTCATGACCTTATTGCACAGCAACAATCAGTTCACAATGGTCTCCTTGAAACTGTTGCAATAGTTTTGATGAAAGGTTAATTTAATGAACGATGACTGATAAATTAGTTCTTATACAGAGAACCATGTACTTTAGCGTGAGGATCCCATCTCAAGAAATATCCAATCTCTCAGACATGGTTTTGTACAGGTCCAAGAATACTTACTATGAGCGGATATCACAGTCTTAAGGGCAATATTGGAGATACTGTACAGTTCTAGTGCCTTGGAATTACCCATTCTACTGATTATGTGCTGTAGCTTATCCCCAGTGACTGGTGGTATGATTTCCGTATCAGGTGGCGACTTAATAAACTTACCCATGACCGTCTTGGATGGCCTACCCCAAACGTCTTTATGCACAGGCTTTTAGCGCAAAGACTTTTAACTTTCCTGGATTGCAGTCTTCAATATGTTTCTGACCAATTTATATTCTTGAAATTGAAGAAAGGCATCTTTGCCACAAGCTTGCTGGTACAGTCTCCTGGCGCAAAGGCGGTGACAATGATGTTGTCTTAATTCCACCTGTAAACTGGTAAATGTCGGTGGTTGTTTCTTTTTCTGGGCATATATGTATCACATGCTTTGGTTATCGAGTTCATAATTTGGCTTACCTTTGCCTCTGCTGACCCTGATGGTAAAAAACTCTCCAAAGGCGGAATACTTCCTCATCGAATGCTTGTCTGTCTGTCCCCTTACCTTACATCCCAGTCTATAACGCTTTCTTTGATATTGTACCTCATATTCAATAGCGTGGTGGTTGATGTGTGAATAGTGTTCACTGACTTTCAGGATAATCCCATTCTTAACAAGCTATTTGTCATAAATGGTATGTCTACCACTTACCTATGCCACCTCTGCGGAAGGTGTGTGTATCTCCGGTGTTAACAAGCACTTCCATCAAAAGAGAGAGAGAATGACTCTAGTACAGCTCGACCTCTCTTTTTCGTTGCCAGGCTACCCCACTCCATAGCCCACATGTTGAAGTCCCCAGCTATCACGAGGGGGCTGCGTCCTTTGACATCGGAACTAAACAGTCAAGGAATTGATCAAACTCATCAAATGTAGTGTTTAATGACAAGTAGCGGCTGTAAATACAGATTCCATCTATTTTGTCTGAGACCAATCCAACTTCATCTCGAGCCATTACTTGTTGAAATGGACATTTCCCACATGCCCAAATAGCTGGTTTGTTGCAGTGAACGAATACCCACGATGAATCGTTGCAGTTTCTATATTGTTCACACAGGATCGCAATATCTGTCTCCCATTCCCTCTCAGACTGAGCTAGGATATCCTGAGCAACTTCACAGTGGTTCAGATTTAGTTGAACGATTCTCATGGTCTGTCGAATATTGCTTTTGGTGCTCTTTGGTAAGCAGGACACCTGTTACAACTGGTAGCATGTTTGCTGTCTTTACCATTTTGTACACACAGCAGACACTTTGGATTCTTCGTGCATGTCTTTGCCAAGTTATCTTTGCTGCAATTTATGCACAACTATGATGTGTGTGTGTGGNNNNGTGTGCCCGGACATGTGTGCCTGTGTGTGTGTGGAGGGGTGCGTGGGTGTGTGTGGGAAAATAAAATACTATAATATAAGTACAATACAAAACTATAATCTTATGTATTGGTGAGCATTTGTCAGTTTAAATAAACAAACAAAAATTAATTAATATCACATTATTTCAGCTTGGAAAACCTCCACAAATAGATTTTACTCCAAGAAGAAACAAGAGGAAAGGTTCTGTGCGCGCTGCAAAGGCTAAGAAGATAGTGAAAGAAAGAGTCAAAAAGGTAAATGCAAGATCTTGTTAAATTGTTTTGTCTGTGTTTGATCTTTTATTTGAATGAGCATCTAGGGTCATAGGTCAAAGAAAGTTTCAATGATTGACATGCTAGAGATGCATTTTATTTCCTTACTGCGTTGCTTGATTTTGTTAATGATTAGGGCTTCAAATGTGTTACCTCATGTAGTAGAAAAACTAGTTTCTGTCAACTAGGGATATGGGGTTAGTCACTAAAAAAAATGCTGTAAAAGTGCTGTAGTAATTGATAAAACTGTAAATTGCACCAGCTACTTACTGACAAGTGATGCCACAATTCGGTGTATTTTAAAAACATTTTCCTTCTGCCTAAGCAAAATAAAACTAAATTCATCCTCAAATGTTGCGCTGTTGGTATGCACAAATTAAACTAGTTGATTTATTCTCAAGTTTAATACTTTCAACAACAAATTACCGAGGGTGTCTTTTTTTGAGGAGGGAGCTGCCCTATAGCCATTATAGAGCAGCTGCCACTGGCCTTGAGTTCGACTGGATAGGTTGGGGAATGTTAGTGTTGAAGGAAAATTTTTAGGCGTGTTTTCCATGGATGGAAAGGCATACAGGCAAGATGTTTTACCATAAACCAATTTTTTGTATCAGAAACCCGCAAAAATGAATTCTGACCAGGCAACATAGTATTACAGAAAGTAATTTACTGCACATAGTAGCAAGAATTATTCATTTTGTCAGTGTCAGGGACTCACAATGCTACTTTTTCTGTAAATTATCTACTAAGTAAGGAAGTAAAAATGGTATATGTTGCGTAACAAAAAAAATCTATGAATTCTAATAAAATAAAAATAGGGCGTTTTAAATTTTTTTGCAGATAAAAATGACCCCCCAAAAGTGGCACCTAGGGCACTTTGGCACGTGCCCCACCCTGGTTACATTACTCAGTTAACTTTTTCTCACAGATGTCTTTTGATCTGTAGGATGTGGTTCAATCTCATTTCCTTTGAGTGCTGTGAGTTGGGGTTGCATTAAAGTTGTTTGCAGGGTAAACTAGATAAATTGTCCTACCGTGACATAAGAATGTCACTTGCACCATGTCTCTCTCTATTTGGAAATGTTTTAAGTATGTTGCACTCAACTTATTTTATTTTTGGGTTCACATATATGGTGGATTAAACTCCCATTATTTCAGGATGTAATGTAGTCTTATATTATGTTACTTACATTTAACCAACTTTTTTTCTCAGGATTACATTGAAGCTGTGAAAGCAATATCTTCAGAAAAGAAGGATAATGATCAATCAAACCAAGAGAAACCATATTCTGTTCTGGACAGATTTTTACCTAAAAAGAAGAAATAATTCTTTTTGGAGAAATAAGAAATTGAATACAGGTACTTGTGGTGTGATTGTATGCCACAATGTGTGTAAATGTAATGCTTTTTTAATTAATTGTAAGTTTATAATTACTAGGAAAAAAAATCATTATTAAATATTCATTATTGTGGAAATTTATTTCTCATTTTCTTTCCCTTTTTTTCTGTTTTTCATTTCCAAGACACTTGTGGCTCATTGTTAAAATTCCAGAGCCTTTTTGATAACTTTTACTTTAAAGTTCAGTATCCATCTCTTATGTTTTAAACTGATCTAACTAGTGGTGCTAAAACAGCATGTACTTTTTCGTGTTTAGTAATGGTTATGTAATACTATTTATACCACAATTTTTCTCTGAATTAACACATCTCAGTCATTCATTTTTGTAAAGCTCATTACAAATTGAAGAACATTTGGTGCAAAAATTAAATAGTTTCAAGCAATATATTTTTTATTCAAACCTTTAAATGAAAATAAGTTTCGGGCATTGAATTCATCATATAAGGTACGCTGTGTATTCACGAACATATGTGATGAGCCTTACAATAGTCTTCATAAGCTGTGTGCAAGAAAGTAAAATAATAAATAATCCGATACATTGGTGGCAGCAGCGTACGCAGTGCTGCTTCATAGCACCAATGGACAGTTGGCACGTACATTTTATAACGCAGTAACGCTGATAGCATTGACAACAAATGCATATAGATCAAAAAAATATATAATAGTAATTATTAAACGGTGTAGTATAGTAACATTTTCCAAATATGCTCGTTTCAACACAAATTACACTTTTCCTTTACTGAACATGCTAAATGCTCTCTTTTCACACCTAAGATTTTCCCTCAATTCTCTTTGTTAATTGAAGAATAAACATTTTATTTCCATCTGTACTCAGAATTCAACATGAAAATGGGTTAGGGTAGGGATACCAGAATTTACGAAAACGTTCACAGAATACATTTCTCCTCATTGTCCGTCACATTCAGTTTTTCTGTTTGTGACAAATAAATAAAACCAAACCTCCTAATGGTTGCATGTCAATGTTCAAAAAAGAGAATAATTCAAAAGAATTTCACATTTCATTATCTTATATTGTTGCCTTTCAACAATGAACTTCTCAAATATCGCTGCATTGTTTCCCAAGGCAGCGTAGGTAGTACTATAAAATGAAAATGTTCCTAAAAATTAATGGAACTCAATTTTTTTCTTTAATCTTCAGTATTAGAAATAATGTTAATATAATCCAAACTGAAACAATTTTAAAGGAATCACCTGTGGTGGATATCTGCATTTATTTCGATAGCCAGGAACAGTATTCTTTTCTAACTTTCAGAAATAAAACATACCATTATCAGCGATCTAAATTTCTTAAAGTAAAGAAGTAAGTTAAATTTATTACCTTCCTTCTATCTATTTTATTTTATAAGAATAGCAATAGCTTACTAACACCTCTCAAGTTATGTTCACAAAGCGCAATAAATTTGAGCGGGCAACTATGATTATCGAAAAATTACCCAAGAAATGCTCATATTTTCAAAAAAATTAACATGACCTTATTTGAAGATCTGTTTTTGATGAACGCATTTTGTCAAGACAAAAAAGTGTTTCTTCACAATTGTAGTTATACAAAACCGCTGAAAAAATTTTGAATTTTTCAATTTTCGATAAATTTGGGTTTTCAATATACATGAGACCTGTATCGTTCTCTTAAACGTTCTTCATGCTATCCATCAACAAAATTTAATCAAAAACAACAGAGCGGTTTTTGAGAAAAATATTGTTTCAACAAAATTTAAAATTACCTATATTTCACGGAAAATTATGTGAAAAGTATTCAAGTTTTTGAAAAATTGTAAATGACCTAATTTCAAAATCTATCTTTGAGGAAGATATCATTAGGGGAAAATCTATCTTCACAATTGTAGTTGTAGGAAGACGCAGAAAAAATTTTGAATGTTTACAATTTTTTAAATATCAGGATTTTCAGCAAACATGAGACCTACACCATTCTCTTAAATGTCCTCCTCCCTATCCAACAAAATTTAATAAAAAACAATGGAGCCCTTTTTAATTAGGAAAACGTCCTAGAGGCTATACCTCCCACAATTAAAATATCTGTTTTAATTTCAAGGGACCATGATATCAGTCAGATCAAGAGGGGAATAACAATTTTGTGGAAAATTGGCTGAACAGTTTAGCGCCAGCGTTGTTGGCAGATTGGCAGATGTTTTGCCGTCAATTGACGTTTTGGTATCCACAAAACGTCCCAGGACCCACAAAACGTATTCTGACTACACCGTGTTTTTATGGAATTTTTCAAATTTAGCGACTGGATTTATCCAATTTTTAGTTACTGTAGCCCTGTAATAAGTTTTTCTGCCGAAAATTCTCGGGTTTTTTGTAGATCATTACATAATTTTCTTTACTGCCTATAAGCATAGTGAGAACCTCTCTGCATTCAGGTTACCGTGAATGCAGCAGGTCGCCCAAAGGCAGAATATCAGTGCAGTAATCACATGGGCTTTGTGTGAAAACCACTTAAGATTTAGATTAGATTGGATGTATTTAATCAAAAAACAGTAAAAAACTGTATGTAACGTATGGGGGAAAAGATAATCTGCACATGTTTTCTTGAGTTCCAAAATCCCTTCCCATCATTTTACATAGTTGAAAAATGAATAAAAGTTAAAAACAAATTGAAAATAATGATTATAATATTTTTATAAACCCCCAACAGTAGCAACATTTGAAAAACTAGACATTTTCGTTCCCAAGTTATAGAAAACTTATTTGCAACGGTAAATGAACTGCAGATTTTAGTTTCAGCATTACTTACAAAATAGTAACTCGCTCTTCCTCTACTCCTACCACTACAAGCAAAAGGAGAGTCCAAACAAAAGATATCCCTTTCAAACTCATCTTTAATTTGTACAGATCGATTGGGGAATTTCAATTCTTGTGAAAATTAGCCGATCGGTTTAGGTCTTTCTCTTCTTATGAAGTGAGAGCTAGAAGGTAAAATACTGGAGGAGGAAAGGATAAGGTTGCCGAAAATGAAGACCCAAAGCAATGTTGCAGCAGCCCCTGATACTAGAGAGAAGTGATCTCGGGACAACGTGGAAGTCCTCCAGGAGCCACAGAACGCATTCAGAAGAGAAAAGGGATGAACCTGAATGGACTCTAGTAAAGAAGAAAAAGAGGAGAAAAAATATTAATTTTTTTATGGATCAGATGGTCTTAAATGGTGTATAACCCACCTCACTGGACATTTTGAGGAGTACTTTATAAAAAAACTGTTGCGACATTTATCGCAAACGGGAGTTCTGGTTCATACTTTTATAGAGAGTGTAATTCTAGCACCATTTACTCATTTTTAGACTGCGGTGTTTCTTGTAATTGTATGATTTTACTGATTGTGCATATCGAAAGAAAATATTTATAACTTACTACTAAAAATAAAACCAAAATTCCCAATTTTTATTTTGCATATTTCTGGATTTTTTAATTAACTGCATATGTTTATTTATGTTGCATTTTTAAGAGATTTATATTTCAAGACTTTTGCATAGAGGGCTTGGGCTTAAGCGAGACATTTTCGTTGCTAGTAACGTTTTGGTTTATTATGTTTGAAAATATGTTTTTATTGTATGTGTTTTGTACTACAGTGTTAAATAAAGATTTATATAAATAAGTGCTATCTGTTGCTTGCTATATTTTTTAACGTGTATTCCGAGTTTTAAGCGTGAGTACTGGCTACTTAAAGTGCATGATTGCATGCATAATTTTAACTTGCTAGATTTAGGTTTATTTAGTCAAAACAGAAAAACTCTACGTAACGTATGGGAGAGAAGAACATCTACACATGTTTTATTGATTTCCAGTATCCCTTCCCATTATTTTAACTATAAATAGATGAAAGATGAGTAAAAGTTAAAGATAAATAAATAAAAATAAATTTTAAAAAATCGCGAGATTAGCAACATTAGAAAAAAAAATTATTCGGACTTGACACATAGTCATTCGAGCTGCTGTCTATCGCCGCCCAAAGTACATTTTTTTAAATTTTCTCAATTTTTCGGTTTCCTAATAGTAGAACCAAAATATTACTTTAAGAATATTTAAGAAGAGTAAAACTACGCCCTATGTGGCAATTTTAATTGAAATATCTGGAACCATTTTGAAGAAAGTGGTGTTTAAGCCTTGCGGCAAATGTAAAATTTGAAGATATTTTTCACAAAAAAATTTTGAGTTTTCAAAAACTTAATTAGAAGTTATTTGAAGCACTTTAACTCCCAAATGAATTAGAGTTTACAAATCACTGGAAATGTACATCTAAACGTCGTGAGACGTTTAAAAAACCTACATTTGTGTAATTTTTAAAAAAACAAAGAATACTACAAAATGAATTTCATGTAATATTAAAAAGTACAATTAGCAGTATATGCGCAAAAAGTTTGAAGAAAAAATTTAGAAGCATTTTGGATAAAATGGCCTTTGAGCGTTTCTAGAAATTGCGGAATTTTGAGCTCATTTTCACAGAAAACTATTGAGTTTTTGAGAAACTTTATATGACATTATTTAAAGCACATGGACTCGTAAGTAAAATAATGTGAAGAAATCGCCGATAATGTAAATATGAATGACTTGAGAGACAATTTAATAAAATACACTTTTATATTTTTGAAAAAACAAGAGAATAGAGCAATATGGCGTGTATGACACCTTATAGAGCACATTTAGCACTATCCCTTCCAAAAGTTTAAAGAAAAAATCTGTAGCCGTTACCGAGAACTCTTTTTTGAAATTTATTTTACCAGATCAGTGGAATTACCACTTTACAGGTGAGTGTTTGCATTAATTAAAATCAATAGTGGCATAGTGTTACAAGTAATTGTAAATTAGTGCAGTATCATACCCCTATTTCTGAACGAAGACATCCCCATTGAGTACCTCTATGATTTTGGTGAAATTTTATCAGACAAGAAAGTAAGATAATAAATTGTTTTTGAGAAAATGTTTTTGTTATTTTTAAAGTTTGGTGCAATATTGTGCAAAAACCACTAATATTTTCAAAGAATGTATATGATCTTCATCAAAGATCTAACTATGGAGAAAAACATTTACTGGAAGAAAAAATTTCCACTTTCAATTTTGCAGTTGTAAGAAGGTGCCGAAAAAATGCAAGCTTCTGCAATTTATGAAATTCAGTGTTAAAAGAGTGAAATACGGTCCTATGTCATCTTTTTAAGTGTATTTTACTGTAATCTTTCAGAAAATTTACAACAAAAAAATAGAGCCCGTTTTGAGAAAGTTTTGAAAATGTCTCTGGAGCTTCAAGAAAAATACCCCCAAATGTTAAAGAATGTTTTTGAAAATCGCAGCGCATTGAATCGGGCCAGATCGACCTAAGAATATCCATTTTGGAAAAAAAATCATACGTATGGTTTAGGCGCTTGTGGTGTTTGCATACTGTAGCGTCACGGCTTGGCAGCAGCCGAGTGCAAGGTAGAGGGCTGGGGGATCTAAAGATAGAACAAAGAAGGGACCTTCCGACAGGAAATGGTCCGCGGGCCAGGCAGCGCCAGGGAAAGGCTTTCCACCGCGCGGGGGTGGGGAGTAGTGACGTAGGAGGTCAGGTGACCTGGACCTATAAAGACGCCGTGGCGAGACGGCGCGAGTGGGTAGAACACAGAAAAGTTTTTAGTTTTTTCATTAGAAGTTATTTGAAGAACTCTAATTCACCAATACAATAGTGTTTTCACAAATTGCTGGAAACGTGCATATTATCGGCGTGATGCATCTTTGAAAAAAAAATTACATTTTTGTATTTAAAAAAAAAAACTACTAAAAATACCTCAAAATGCACTTAATGTTAAATAAAGAGTGCGATTAGCACTATCCTTTCGAAAAGTTTGAAGAAAAACATTTGGAGCCGTTTTTGACGAAAAGGCTTATGAGCGTTTCTGAAAACGAATTTTGAGATAGTTTTCACGGAAAACGTCAGAGTTTTCGAGTAACTTTACATGACATTATTTAAAGCACATGCACTCATAAATATGTGAACAAATCGCCGCTAATGTTAACCACGACGGGAGAAAATAAACAAAATACATTTTTGTTATTTTGGGAAAAAGAATAGTGCAATATGGCGAAGATGTCATCTTTTAGAATATATTTAGCACTATCTCTACCAAAAGGTAAAATTTAAAGGTAAAGGTAAAATTTTGAGAAAATCTTGCTTTTGTAATTTTTTAAAATTGCACATATTGCACGCAACATTGCGCGAAAACTACTAAAATTTTCGAAACAAAGTACGTGACCTTAATGAAAGATGTGGAGGATTATGGAGTGGTATTTAAAGGAAAGATCTCTATCTGAAATTTTGTACTTTTATCAAAACGTCAGAAAAGTATTGAATATTTGAAGTTTTTGAAAATTCAGAGTTAACCTTGAAAATCAGACCTACGCCCCCTTTATCAGTGCATTTTACTCTATTCTTACAAAAAATTTAAAGAAAAAATTGGAGTTATTTTTGAGAAAATTTTAAAAATGTCCCAAGGGCTTTATGTAAAGAACTCTCAAAAATTAATGAATGTTTTTCAAAATCGCAGAGTTTCTCTCGAGCCAAAACAAGGATTTCTTCAATTTGGAAAAAATCCTATGCATGGTTTACGCGTTGGTGTTGTTCACATACATAGACAGACGTACGGAAACCACTGTCAACACTGTCAATTTGAAAAAAAAGACAAGAACGCGTTTTCGGTATCAGAGGACCCAAAATCGTGTATTTCCGTCGAAATTTCGAAATCGATTTTCCGCATTACACACCTTTCCCTAAACTACGTATGTTACTCCGTATATATGTATGTATACGGGAAAGTAAAAATATGGGTAACCAAGGCAGTCTAGAGATATTTTATCTTCCCTTGGTACAACCAATTTTCAATCCCTAGACTTAATAAAAAAAAGTTTTAAATCGCTAAAAAATAGTGAGGTTTTGTGAATGTGCGATTTGACTGGTGTCGACAATCCTTCCACCGTCGGGACTCGAATAATTAGAGTGTCTTGGAATGAATCTTTAGAGTCGAACCCAAGGACTGTCCAGTCAGAGGCTCTGTAGTGTGATGTAAAAGTGTTATCCGTGGAAATAGTGTAGATTATAATGTGTTTTCCTGAATTTAAACACTTTCTTCAGAGACGTGACAGATCTTAAATCAGATTGAGAGTTTGGAAGCAGGGAGGAAAGATCCAGGTATTAAAAATACATATTGTGCCACTATTACAGGTATGTAATGGTAAATAAGTTAAGCACATAAATGTTAAAGTGATTTGCGAGAATTTATCTTGCATGAATTATGATATGGATATTAATTTGTGGCCATTAACACTCATTTTATAAAGTAAATGTAAAAAGAGATATGAGCGAGGGGCTGCAAAACAATCTACAATAATTATTGAGTTGACTGTTCCACTTATTGGGTAACTAGACACCATGGGTGATGGAGTAATCTATGAAGTATTAGCAATTTCTGCTATGCTTTTATAATTCTTGACACTTCAGGGGTTCAGGAATACATTATTGTATAATATTAATGTAGATTAAGCTTGGGTATTAGTTCAGGTACTCTTGATTGTCTTAATTTTTCTCGAATTCTCAGATGAGTTTGAAAAGGAATTTAAAATGTGAAATTCCCCCAAATTACTTTAGAAGTTTTGGTTTTTATTGCGTCCTTATTTTAATTCAATGCAATTTGCTGTAGATGATATCTTCAATACATTTAAGTTAAATGTCAATTTTTGTTTTATTAAATTTTTGTATGAGAATTTTACTTAAAGATTTGTTTTCTTTCAGATTTACAAGAAGATTTTGATATTGATCTCAAACACTTGTAAAATTATTATTTTTATTTCAAAACATTTTAATGAAATTAATTCTTTATTCACAATTGAAATAGAATATATCATTGTTACTATAATTGGATTCACTCTTCAAGCTATAACAACACTACATATCAATGTTTTTATTCTTATTCCAATGTGATTCTATAAAGTTTCTTAAAAAACACTTCGGCAGCAGAAAGGTAAGAAAAATAATGAACTGAATCTGAAATGATAAACAACTTTTTTGTTTATTAATGAAAAATGGAAAACAAAATGATAGTCCAATAAAAATATATTCACAGTACAACATATTTTTTTGATTTCATAACAATGTAAAAATATTTTAAATACTATTTTCACAGATGACTGAAAAATAATATGTAATAATAATAGTAACAATAATAATAATAATAATAATGACAACAACAATGTTTATTTATCTTCATTCTTAGTTTTTTTCTTTAATGATATTATTAAAATTTTTATTATATATTAATTATCTTTATTAATGGAAAATCTCGAGCAATACTCTTTGTATATGGAGTTAAAGAACCCACTTTGCTAGTATATTTTTAAAGAAAACATAAACCGTTGCTCTAAATAATCAAATAGAATGGTTACTTTATCTACATTGATAATATCTACAATAAATTAATTGAATGAACTTTTAAAAAACATTGACATGTTGCTTGACTTAACCACTGTTGTTGTCTTCATGAGTTTAGGCAATACAGATAAAATAATGCATATCATACTCAATATTTATTCACAATTTAAATTAAACATTTACAAACGTTCTGGAGTGATATATTCATTAGCTCTGTTATTTAATTGGAAACATCATAAAATAATTTTTTTAATATATCAGCATTATAAGAGACCTTTATCAAGAAAGTTACAAGAAATCATTCAAAAATGACTTCTTATGACACAGATGTATGACATGTGATGTATTTGCCATTTATGACACAAATAATTGAGTCATTACACTTTCAGAAAATAGCAATGAAAGAATCATGGGGAGGTAAACTGATCTGAATTCCACTGTTTTTTCATGCAGATACCAAGATACCCATGATGTTACAATAAAGTTGATTCCAAAAATTAACTTCGAGTCTTCTATAAATTTATGATGCTGTTATACAATACAAAAATAATGTTTGCAATTTGTTTATAATGTTGCTCTATTGCATTCATACAAATTTGAAAACTCGCACCTAATGGCATTTGTTTTTGAAACATGTACTCGTGGAATAAAGAACATTATAATTTAGTTGTATAATATACTATTCTATTCTATAGTAGTACACCTGAAATATAAAAGAAATGTTTGCCCTAGTTGAATCTGTTGGTAAACTAAATATCTCTTACAATAGCCTAGACACAAATATTCAATGATATTAAATTAACTGAACCCCAATTTGCTGGTAATCTAATGGTAAGATTATCCAGAAGAATATTTAATTGAAACATTTGCTTTTCTGAAGTAAAGTGCAATGTACCTTCTTCCAACTAAAAGGTACAACACACGTAATTTATGAGCTCACTCTGCAGAAGTTTTTAATAAATCTCCTGTTTTTATATGATGTGTAGCAGATGAATTCAAGATTTAAATTGTATATTAAACATTCTTACTTCTCTCTTAATCTATTAATAATTTATATGAATTTCTCCCCACACCTGTCATCAGTCACATTATAAATTGTGAATAATGAAGGTGTTAACATTTCCTTCACTTAGTCTATCATTCTTGTTATCCCTTTCTCTTTCCCAACTCCTCCCACTCCTCTCCATCACATCCTCTTAGGTCTCTTCTTACCCCCACACACTTAATACACTCAGGCAACTTCACTTAGCCCAGACCTCCCTCATCTGAAATTGATATAGACATCAATGACAGAGAAGAATACATTTTTGGAGGTTTGTTATGTACTTAAAATTACCTGAAAAATTCTACATAAAATAATTATGACATTCTAAACAAAAATCTGTTCAATTTGTCATATAGACAAATTGTTATATATTAATAAGAACCAAGAAGACTACATAATCCCATAAAGTGATTCAGTGTTAAATAAAAGAATGAGAGAAAATAAGGAATTTTACTTTATAAGTAAGTGGTGTAGACTTTAAATTTGGAACAAAGTATCGTAGAAAGGAATTTGCATTATTCACACATGAAATGCGTGCTCCTCTGATCTCAGCTATTCTCTTCTTTATGACTTTTTATTATGGCTGGCATATTACAAGGTTTCAAACCTGGGAACATAGTAGGTGCGATGAAAATATTATTTTAAATGTGCAACCAATATACATCGACAATTACATAAAGTAGTAAAAATATAATATTACACCTTAGAAATATTCATACCTTAAAGTTGAGTTTATTATATTGAATTAAGCACACCAAATATAATTTTCTGATTATCTCATTTAGAAAATTAGTTGGATGATTGGTTGTGGCAAAAGAAGTTTCAGTATGTTGAATGATATGCGTATTAACAGGGTGAGGCAAGAAGATTTCCACAGAAGTAGTAATAATATTCCACATATAATGAAATGAACAAATTCAAGTCTAGAAAAAGGAAAAAAAGATGTGAGGTGAACAGTCTCTGACACATTATTAGGCCAATCTGAGATTATTTAGAAAAACAGTTTAATGTGGGTCTACTGCACTTTCCTTGCAGAGTTGTTTCTAAATTTCATAGTTTTTAAATACTGATCAGAGTTACTATTCCTATCCATTCTAAACATGAAGTAATGGTGCTAAAACAGCACATACTTTCTCCCCGTACTTTCACGCAAAATTACGCGAAAATTACTCAAATTTTCGAGATTTAAGAAATTTCACTAAGGAAAAAATTCTATCTTCAATATTTTAGTTGTAGGAAAACTCCGAAAACATTTTGACCTTTTAACATTTTCGTAAAATTTGAGTTTTCAACGAAAATGAGACCAGCATCATTCTCTTTCACGTCCTTCACACTATCCAACAACAAAATGAAAATAAAAGCAATGGAGTCTTTTTTTTAAATTGAAAATATCCCAGAAGCTACATGTGAAGTAGCCCCAAAATGAAAATATCGTTTTCAAATTCAAGGGGTCGCGACATCAGCTAGATGATTAGTGAATTTCGATTCTGGAGAAAATCGGCGTCTAGATTTATCTAGATGCTATTTTTCGTTACCAGGGCCCTGTAATAAGAGTTTTTCTGCCGAAAATTGGCCGGTTTTTCGCGCAGCATTACATAACTTTCTCTCTACTCCGTTCATGAAAGTAAAAAACAACAGAAAAACACAATTTACAGCACCTCAGCTATATCATGCGACCGCCATAGCTTTACAAATCATTTAAACTTCACGAAAATCTGAGGAAGGAACTGCCTTTCCTGTCCCCCCCCCCCGAGTCACGATATTGAGAAACCTAAACAGCGGGGGAAGCGAAATCAACCATGCGTATATTTCTTCTCAAGGGCTGTTGGATATCGCTCTGGACCTGCATTTTAGCTCTTCCCAGTTTGGGTGCGTGGCGCTAGTGTAGTAAAAATGAAGAGGGGAAATGGGAGGGGGGAAGGACTCGCTACCCCGTACATGAAATTGTTCGGAGAGGTAGGAAGGGGAGGGGGGAGAGAAGAGGGGGAATTTATAGATAAAATTTAAGAATTATGGTTGTCGTAGGAAGATGTAATTTGGTAGCCGATGTTGGTGGGCGAATAGTGCCGTGAGGTGCTGGGCGGAGGAAGTTTTAGAATGTCGAAGGGGTGTGGAAAACGTCTTTGGTGGAGAACATTTTGGTGATGTCTCGTTTGTAGAAAGGCAGTAAAGTGGGTTTTCTTAAGAGCGTTGTCAATGGCTTTGTGTGCCGTATCGTATGTCTTTGTCAATCAGAGTTAGTTTGAGTGTTTGTCGGAGTCTGTTGTAATTTGTAAGCGGAGGGGGTCGAAACGAGAGACGTAAAAAGCGGTTTTTAGTTTTGATGAGTTTTTGGTAGTTGGTTTTGGATGTCATTGCCCAGGACGCACAGTAGTATGTCAGTATGGGTTTTACGTACGTCTTGTTGATGTAAAGTTTTGTCTTGGTGGGTGTGAGTGGGGGCGTCAGAACTGATGTTAGTGAGTTCAGTCGTCTGTTGGCTTTTTGCGTAATTGCGTGAATGTGTTTGTTCTATTGTAGTTTATGATCAAGAGTGATGCCTAGATATTTGGTCTCGTATGTCCAGTCGATGGCAGTGTTGTCTAAAGTAAGTGGGGGTGGAGTTGGGTGCTTCTTGTAGTGGTTTCCTCTATTGAAAAATATGGCTGTGCTTTTGGTGGGGTTTAGTCACAGGTTGTTGTCTTTTGCCCAGGTAGTTATGGCGTTTAAGTATTTTTAAAGTACTTGGACCGAGTAGGGTAGTCTGCGTTTTGT